GGAGCGTTGGTGTCCTTTCGAACAACATGGCCAAGCCAGCGGAGCCGCTGTACATCGCTGTACAGCTCATCGTCTGCGGTACTCGCCCGTCACCAATATCTTCCGCAAAATCTTCCTCTCGAATACTCCAACAGGCGTCATTTTCCATGCTTCTGCGCCATATACATACCAACACGAGCATGAATTGCCTACCCAGTTCAAATTAGCACTTATTGGCAAGAGTGATTCTGCGTTGGATTTCGATGCTGTGTAAATGCGTAAATGCTGGTTCCCAAGTAGACGAAATTCTCGTCTCAATCTCGACCCTTACGTCCTCGCCTTGAAGCAAGCGCCTCGCAATATAAACATGTATTCGATTAAGAAACCACCCCTTTCCAGCAATAGGTTGTGCGCTCGGTCTGGGACCAGCTATGTAGAAACCCCTTCCACCGAAAAAATAATAGCATTTAATTATCTGTTCAAAAATAATAATGTCTTAGGTTAGGTAATATCGAAGATATGAGCGCTACAGTAAATAACTATTTTCGAAAATGAACTATATTCATTTAATAGCAGATAGTTTTCCGAGCCACGCAGTGTTTTAAATTTGATACCCTGATTTATTTCATATATAAAGGATTTTATAATAAAACTGTTTTTTAGGGGCCTGCAACTTGTTTATAAAGTGTCCTAAATCTACATTCTTCTATCGTATGCTTCATATTACCGGCTTTAAAAATCTGGTTTTAATATATCATCCCCTAAATTTGAGCTATGTGTATAAATTTCATATATATCTTAAATAGAATTATGACTTACAAACAGTGCACGGACTTCGAAAAAATTAATAGTTGTAGATTTTACATAGGAAAATGGTTGAAGTTATTAGATTTTTTTTAAAAGAAACAATACTAAAGAGTTCGTACGCATATAGGATGAAGCTTGGCGAATTCATAAAAGGTGCTGCTAACAGAGGAGTGGTTCTTAATGCCAAAATGAAGTATGTGCTGTACATTTGTTGTAGTTCTTACTGGCATTGTGTGTAAAATTTGTTAGTATATGTTTTTTGTCCTGCGAAAATTCCATGTCATAGCACCATGCTGTGTATATTTTTTATACCCGAGCGCACTTGTGCACAAGAGTATTATAACTTTGTTCACAGAACGGTTGTTTGTAACAGGCAAAACGAATCGAGATAGATATAGACAAATGTATACATAAATGATCAGAATAAAAAGAGGAATCGATTAAGCGGTGACTGTCTGTCCGTCCGTCCGTCTGTGCACACGATAACTCGATTAAAAATTGAGATATCTTAACGAAACTTTGTACGTGCACTTCTTTTAGGCGTAGGACGGATGGTATTGAAAATGGGCAAAATCGGACAATAACCACGCCTGCCTTCCATATAACGGTAATTTTCAGAAATACGAAAACTGCGATATTTTAGTAACTGCTGAAGATTATTTACTCAAATTTGACATTTACAATAATTTTTAGACGAAAAATAAGAATATTATAAGTTTTTGGAAAATGAAAGTAGCCACGCCCACTTATGATTACATGTGCATATCTTGGTAACCGCTGCACCAATTGCTTCCAAGCTTGGCAAAGTTGTTAGCCTTGCTACAGCATACCAAATGGCCGAAAGTTTTTTTAAATCGGACAATAACCACCCCCACATCCCATATAACGGTAATTTGGAGAAATACGAAATCTTTGATAAATCAGTAAATATAAAAGATAACTTATTCAAAATTGATGCTTGTAACAATTCTTTACCAGGAAATAAGCTTATGATAAAATTTTGTAAAATGGGAGTGGCACCGCCCACTTATGATCACATATATGTATCTCGGTAACCGTTCTACCAATTTCTACCAACCTCGGTGTGGTTACTGTGCTTGCCACATAAAAGCAAAGCGTTGAAAATTATTGAAATCGGACTAAAATTTAGGCCGCTTTTCATATAACGGTAAATTTCAGAAATGCTTGAAACTTCAATATTTTTAAATTTAAGGACGCTAATTTACTCAAAATTTATACACCCCGGCTTACCATGTAGCGGTAGCTTTCATAAAGGTGAAAATCGTATATTTAATAGATACTTGCGCCGGGTATTTAATGTTCAGCTCCGTCGGAAATTAGACTTTCTTACTTGTTTAAACTTATGTTTGTAACAAATGTTTAAAAAAGTCAAACGTTTACCTTTTGTGCTAAAAGAGCAATGTTTGCTTTTTTTACATCTTATTCAAAATATTCCCCCAGACCCCCTTATTCTATTATAGATGTTTAAAAAATGCAAAAAATTTGTATTTTGGCACTTTAAAGTCAAAATATCTCAAAAACTGGAACCAATCTAATTTTTGAAGTTCAGATTCTGATTCCACGGAAAAAATCCAATAAGAATCAGGGTTTTCGTCCCGCGTCGCAAACATTTTTTGAAATTTTGTTGGACTGTATAATCAGTCCCACACACTAGAAAGATGAGAATGGACTAGCAACTATGATATGCAAAATTTTCGACGAAAAATTATGATTTTTGTTGGTAAAAATCTTTTAATTTTGCAATGTAATTTTTGAGGTTCAGATTCTGATTCCACGGAAAAAATCCAATAAGAATCGGGGTTTTCTTTCCGCGCCGCAAACATTTTTTTAAATTTTTTTGGACTGTGTAATCAGTCCCACACACTAGAAAGATGAAAATGGACTAACAATTATGAAATGCAAAATTTTCGACGAGAAATTATGATTTTTGTTGGTAAAAATCTTTTAATTTTGCTCAACTTTATGATGGATTTTTTAGCCAATACGAGGAGAAAACTAATGTACTCGCTAGATAGGAGCTGCGTTTTTATGATATCTAATTATAAAAGAATGGTTCCGTACGCACGTACATATGGGTGTTTCCAGCGGAAGGTCCACCACGACAAAAAAAATAAAAGTTTTATATCTAACGTATTTACGGGCCGATTTGTTTGCTTTTTAAAATATATACTGGCTATGTAAGTAGAATCATGTTTGCATAAAATGGTCTTCCTAGGTGGTGCCAAGGTCGAGATATTTCGAAAAACCGTATTTATGGTCCGATTTGGTTCGAATTTGGCGTATGTGGTTGAAACATAATAAATCATAGATTTCTAATAAATTGACCCTGAATTGGCGCTGAAGTCAAAATATAAAGTATATTCTACATAAAATACATGTTTTATTTGCGTTAAAAATTCATTTAAAAGCAATATTAACAAAAATATAACGATGGAAATTTATGTCACGTGACGCCACGTCACGTCACGTTTCACACTTGGGGTTGTAAAAGAGAATTGAAACAATTTGCATTAATTCAAAAAACTCTAACAACAACTAGAATTACTCCAAATCGTATTAAAATAAGATTCATGAAAATAGCCATCCACAATTCGCAGGGTTTTGCGATTTTGTAAGAAAAGAAAAAAATCAACTTCCATTTTTTGTCACGTAACGACACTCTCTTTAAATGCTTATATTTCAGGACCAAGCAGTTCGATTGATTTCATTTTTCGGTTAAATATAGAGCTAATTATGTGCTATACAATGGCCCAAAAAAGTTAAAGAAAACAAATGGTATTCCTTTTTTGTATCACATTGAAATCGTACGACTGTCACGTGCGCCACCATGGGAATGCCCATATGTAAGTGGGCAAATCTTCTGACTTCCATTCACCTGGGAGTGCCCAGGAGTGATTCTTTTGCGTACGGTTTAAATCGTCTACGTCGTCCATATATTTATATCAACGTATCCTCTGTGTAGCGATCAAACACCGGTTTGGGAGCTAGCTTAATAGAGAAGGCGTAAGACCTCGCGTACGCTGGGTTTGGGTCCCGCCACGTTAAACATCACTCGCGCGAAGAGATTGAAATGCTGGCCAACAGAAAAAACGCTCAAAAATTTTATCAGAGAGCTTACGGAGGGTTTTAAAACCAGGGCGAACTCCTGCACGAACAACCACGGCGAGTTATTGACCGATCTTCAGAACGTATTTCAATTATGGAGGGAACACTCTTCCACCCTCTTGAATGGCTGCAGTACTGAAAATGTCATTAAAAATAACCAATTTTTCTAAGAAAAATAATGATGCACATTCAAACACAATAATAATAATACTACGTCACCTTTATTTTGATACTGACTTTACCTTTATTCTTATCATTTTTTGTAGCCAGCATTTCCTCAAGGTAAATTTTGTAGTTAATGGGTTAACGCTTTAACAAATTTCAACTTATGACAGTACATTTCCAAAGCACATGTGTTTATGCTTATACGTCGTTCATCGCTGTCGCTATAAGTTGAAAGCGAAAAAACTTAATAATAATAATAGATTGGCGCTTACACAATATGTTAGTGTTTCTCCTCCGATTTGTGGTGTGCGCCTTGATGTTATCTCGCAAAGGGGAGGGACCTATAGTTTTACACCAACTCCGAGCGGCGATTGGTTTTTTATGAGTAGCTGGTTTTCATGTCAGAAATACAATCGGCCTGCCGAGGTGGCCGATATTAGAAAACAATGATTTTTTTCTTTTGTTTTTGATGTTAGTCCGAAACTGGGCTCGATACCAGGCTCTGCGGAATGGTAGTGTGCACTTCTAACGTGTACACCACAGCGACCGCCACATAGGTATGCTTAAGGCACGTTCATAAATACATATATATATACATACATACATACATGTATGTATCCTTTAATTCATTATATTTCATATGACGCCCATAGGAATGAGCCCGCGAAGGTCAGAAGTTTAAAAGACATTGGTGAAGTTAACATTGTAATAACCGCCGCAGGGAAATTCATTAACTTTTTTTTTGTTGGGAGACGCTTGATGCACATACATTCATATGTTTGTATGGCAGTAGCTGTGAAGTGACATAGCCTAGCTACATATGTCCTTTTTGGCCAAGGTCACTGAAGAAATTTTAGGCTAAGTATATTCACTGTATGCGTTAAAATATTAAAGGCTTAATGTGTTTTTCTTTCGTTTTTTAGATTGGATGGGAAGCCCCTTTGAGCGAGTCGTCTGCGCAGATTTTAATGGTAAGTACCCACATTTTCTATTCCTGTGTATGAATTTTCGTTGAAAAAGTTAAAAACAATGCTTCAAAAAATTTTAGTAAGTGTGGTGATTAAGGCGTTGATTTTTTACCATTGTCCTCTAGCGCTATTCACAAATATTACGAATACCGCGTGAGGATGCGCATGTACATACATACCTCCTTTACCAGCAACATTGTCCTTGAAAACGAAAAAACTATTCGCAGGTACATATGTATTTTTGAACATACATATGTACATAGATATTATACACATATTTGACTAGAAAGCATTTACTTTTTTATTGTTTTTTACCTTCTGTCTGTTAAAGATATTAAACCCTTCTGAGTTTTTTTTAGTTAAAGGCGTAAATATTTAGAACCCCGAGTTCGTTCAATTTATGTGAGATAACTGTTATAAAGGACTTCCACGAAGTACATTAAATTATTTAAGTACACAAAAAACGAGCACACAATTTTATCTTTAGTACGCTGAATTTTCAATTACATACATACATGTATGTATGCATGTGTACGCTTGAATAATATTGTACTACAAGGAAATATTACCTTATGCATTACTTTTTTAGTCTACATAAAACTCTCAAACTTTGTTTCGTCACTTTTACGTTTAAATTAAAAAGCAAGAACTAAAACGATCGCAACAATCAGTGGCAACATCAACGCCCTGCCACATGGCTCATTTGCAGCAATCGTAACATCGCGCAACTGTGAAATATGCCTGCCACATTGGCGAATTCGCATTTGAGTCGCCGACGTGGAACAGTAGCTGTTGATGGCTATGCCGCAATGTAGCTTTGTTGTTGATTGCAGCAATTACAATTGTTGCTGCACTTTTACGAGCTCACCAACCTATTGTTTTTGGTTTGTTGTGACGGCAATAGCCTTCAAATTATGCTCCTCAGTTGTCGTTCCTTTGTACTGATGCAATAAAACACAGCCGAAAAACAAATAAAATCCGCACTTAAAATCTGCTGTTTGTGGATCCACCTTCTGTACCTCCGCCGCCCATCTACATGAACTTCGGTGTTTTGCACCTCTCCGCTACTGAGGCTCACCCTCTGTCTACCGTTCTGTTGTCGCTTGCGTTTTGTTTTTTGTAGTTTTCGATTTGTTGTGTTTATGTAATTCGAAGCCTGGCTACAGGCGCAATGGGGCGCAACATTGGGCTGCGCTAATGGAAAGTGGATACCAACCGGCAAACATATGGACATATTACATACATACATTTGTATGTAGTGGGGATCGGTTTACAGGGAAGGCAACACACTGCAAAAATATTTATGTATATTGTATTTTCTACAGTGGGAGCCAAATATTAACCATTTTGTATGCCTTTTTTGAGCATTTCTTCTTTCTGTTTGTTTATGCCTCTTTACGAGATTAAATCTCAAAACAAGCAACAGGAGAACGTGATTTCATGCTGCTTGGGTTCTGACACAATGGTCAGATTGTTAGTTGGGGAGAGGATGGTTAACGGTGTTCTTGCCCCTCTGATGATTGAATGGTCAGTTCGTGTGCTCGGCCGGTTCCAGTCCGTTTGAAATTTCAGCTTTTATATTTACTACGTTTCACGACAAATAAGTCATTGGCGGCGAACGCTGGCTCTGTTTGTGTAGGTACACCTTATTGCATTGACATGTATGTACATTAGGGTGGTCCAAAAATACGCGTGAAAAGTAAAGTCGGAATTTTTATGCTCTCACCCCCTGGGATTGTTCTATACCGAAAAAATATGCCCCTATTTTTTTATTTTAAAATCAAAAAATATTTAGAGGTCGCTCAAAGCGCCCAAAGTTTTTCATGTATTTTGTATGGGGAAAAAACAACTTTTCGTATAAATGGCATAGAATTCTTAAAAGTAAATATTTTTCTATCGGATAACCCTGTTTCTCTGCAGCAGATTCCCAATAATAATACTAAATTTTTTATTTAGCCAATTTTTCATCGCAACTATAATTTACAGGTCCGCCAAAAACCCTGAAAAATTCAATGGGGGACCAATAAAAATCGTTAGTATTAAAAAATGTTTAAATACACAATTGGGTATTATTATTGAAAGTCTCCTGAAGATAACCAGAGTTTCGTCGGTGTCGGTAAATAGGGGAAATTTCCCCTCCCAAATCCGAGTCGGTCGAGAAATCCGAGTTTAGTTAAGAATTTCAATTACACTCTTGGTATTGTAATTCTACTTCCATAACAATTTCGTGCTAATTGAAATTTTTTTCTGATACGAAATTGGCCATTTCTTATACATTTTGTCGCTGAACTCATATCTGAAAAATATGCGCAGCATACTAAAATACATCTCTTGTCCTTTCACAAGCCGCACAGTATGATTTTGGAACACTGCACCCGAATTAGTCGTAGCGCTTTCGACAGAAGCAGCATTTTGATACGAAACAAAATGGTTTTGAAAGCTAAAGTAAATCCCTTTCAATTGTGGCCACTGAGCCACAATTACCCCTTGACATTAAAAAACATTGGTAAGAAGTAGTTTTCTTCGAAAAGAAACATGCAAAATACGCGGGATTTATTTCAAAACAAAAAATTTATGTATTTTTTTATTATACTAGTATTATAGATTTTGAGACGAGCAACACGATTCCACTGTTCAAAATTCGAAGAAAAATTTGAACACCTTAATTTAAAAAATGCATTATTTATTGCATTTTTTCTATTTACATGCAGCTGTGCATCCTTCACTCAATTTTCCCCTCAAACAATAAGTGCAATTCAAGACCTTTAATTTGAGCCAAGGTAGAGGGCCTCTAGGCCCTCTGAGAGCTAAGTTATACCAATTTTAAACCAAACTTCGAAACTGCGGTACAAGTTTTTACTCCGAAATTAGAAAAAAAAAATTGCGTAAAATGTCGAATGAAATTTCGAAGTTTAACTTTAGAATCGTAATAATTTAGCTCTCAAAGGGCCTAGAGACTTCTACCGTGGCTTAAATTAAAGGTCTTGAATAGCACTAAAAGTCATTTGTTTTTTCGAGTTAGCTCTAATATCTTATTTTTCAGTCGAGAAATTTAATTTTGAAATTTTAAAATTAGTAAGGTGTATTTTTCTCAAAAACATATGATTTGTAAAAATATAAATTAATTATAAACAATATATAATATAATAAAATAAAATGTCTATCATACTTGGGCGTACAAAATTTTTGATTCTTATTTCCCCTCCCAAAATCGAGCTCACGATCCGGCCCTGTATACTTAAATATGTAGATACATGAGATGAAATGCCTTTGCATAACTGCAGAATGTTCATCGCGGACATATTTTGTACCCAAAAAATGTAGTGTTCATTTATCTATTACAAGAAATTAAATTTATTTGCAAATTTTCGCTCAACCACATTATTATGTTTTAGTTTGAAATAGTGCTACTGAAGACCTGTACTTTTTGATAAAAAAAATCAGCATAAAAAACTAAAAAAAAAAAACAAAGCAATAAATTTATATTTAAGTACGAGGTGTATTTTTACAACGCTTTTATCAACTTGCAATGTTGTGTTCCAGAAACTTTCAATGTTGTGGATCCAGAAGCTTTCAATGTTGTGTGTCCGACACCAAAGCAAAGCTTTGAAAAGCTCCTATAAAAAAGCATAGTGAATAGGGCGAGGTAGATGACATCTAGATGTCGCCCTATGTACTACGTTTGCTACACCGGAAATAGACGACACGCCATTTCTTTAAATAAAATTAGTTTGACTATTGTCAACTAAATCGAATGCTTTGTAAGTGAAGTGACTTGTGGACCAATTGAGGTATAGGTGGACCAGTTGGTAGCCACTTTGGGACCAGTTGGTAACTAGTTCGTGGGACCAGTTGGTAACCAGTCGGCGACCAGTCCGGGAACCAGTTGGGAACCAGTTTGGGACTAGGCCGAAACTACTTACCTTCAGAACAGTTGGGGACCAGTTGGTCTTTTTAAGCTCCTGTGGCCGTTTTAAGGGTAATTCTTGGGCTCCTGCACTGCCGCTCGGGGTTTCTGCCTTCTACGGTGG